GATATTGTCTGGTTTGGCTACGTTAGCCGCCTGGTTCCAGTGCACGTTGGAAAGTTTATACACTCTAAACTTCTCGGCTGCTCCATCCTGTGTTGTTATTATCGAGCCTGGAAAAGTATTTACCAATTAACAGAGACAGTTTCTTCTATTGTCAATGGAACAATTCCATTGGGGCTTCGAAAGAGTCCTAACTGTCCCACAATATTTTATTCTATGAATTCCGGAACGGGGGGGGTCAGTGGCCGCAATCACTCTAAGGTAAAGGTCCCGGGTTCGAATCCAGCTCCCCTGCATCGAACCCGACATACTTACAAATGGGCTTTTGTCAAAAACACCGGCACCCCGACGGTTTATATAACCTCTGCTGTTCCGAACCCTCGGAAAAAAAATCCGGAACAGTCAAAAGCTTTTCTAACTCCGGACAAATTTCCTCTACGTGTGTCTTTTATCCTTTCTTAATGCCTTATTGTACTGTGCGAATGCTTCCTCATATTTGCCTTTGCTTGGCTGAGCTTATCGATCAACTTTCGACCTGTCTTCTCATTTTTTACACGCTCTTCCGTGAGGTTTTGTTCTGTTCTTCCTGGTTTTTCAGAGCGATTTCGTCAAAAAGCTTCCAGTATTCCTTCGTTTACCTCCTGATTCAATTTTTTCACTAACCTTAATTTTTATCATAATGTCAGTGAGAGAGTGTTCGACGGAATACATATCCTACTCAATCCGTCTCTAGAATTATGGCATTAGGGGGGAAAGTAGTAACATCAAATCATACATGTCTGTGGTCCGAGCTTTTGACACAAGTCAATTAAAAATGTATTTGACACCACGTCTATTACCTTGAGTGTCATCAACAACTTCCATCGTGTTACGGACGACAGTAGGTTTTGAGCATTTATTTTCTATTTCTAAACTCTCTTCAGTAATGATGTTAAAGAGAGACTGATCTCTACTGACAATACATCGTGGGAATTTGTGACAAATCCGATGATTAATCCAAGTTTTTAGACCTATTGTGTTCTAAGATGTCATACATCAACAGACGTTGACAAGGGTCATTCCCTAGTAAATAGGCGGAACAGAATATCTAGCCGTAGAGTGGAATTTTATTAAATGGGAGTGAAAGTATTTAGTACCGTTTGCGTATCTAATTGAACGATTGATTCAGTTAATTCGTTACCGTTTGACGGGTGGGATGATTTGTTTTCCAAACCTTACTTTATACACACACAAATACGCAGGCTTATTAACAGTCAAAGATTCGACAAATTACAGACTGATTGGAATTACTCTGACAAGTAATAGCCTTTCCGGAATACAATGTATTATAATTAAACGAAATTAATTATAAGATATCTTAATAGGACGGTCCGAGCAGTTTAAATATACGGCTCTCATTCATCCAACTTAATTAAGGCACCCAGGACACAATTGTACAATCATCGCAGTAAATTATTTCCTTGTGCCATACTCAATTAAAGTATGAAATGTTGATGTTTGTTGTTCGTTCTTGATCAGAATAACCGTCCACTTGAATTGATCATAAATTCTTTATTTATCTAAAGCAGAAAACATATATTAACATTAGACATATTTCTATTGAATCAAATTACTCCCATGAAAAAATACTATCCAAGAAAACACGTTGTACTTGATTTCTTACATTTTCTTAATATACGGTGAATCACTTTTATTATTATTATACCGTTTAATTAAAAATCTAACTTCCATTTTTTTCTCTAACAACCAATATATAACACAAGATTATTTAAATCGTAAAAAAAAATTCCCTTTCATCTTATAAAATATGTATACACTGTGATACGTATTTACAAACGGAAGCCGAATATAAATATGACCGGATGGGAAAGGCATTCGTGATATTTCGAAGCACCATTGCCCGAATAATTGAAATATACAAATTATCCCCATGGTGTTCCAAAAACCAACCAGAATTATTTGCTATAAGTAGGAGTCTGAAAAGGCTGCAGGCAATAAAACTGGAAGGACAGTCAGCAAAATAAAATTGGATCATATAAGGATGTGGAAAAATAATTATCAGTTGTTGGAGGAAATGTGAGGTAGTATATCCATACAACAATCTGCTAAAAAAAACGAAGAATCGTTTAGTTAAGTGGAAATAAGGGGATCAAAATTTGGCAGAGGAATTCTGAAGGATACTCTCAATGCACATACATTGTGAAACGTACAAGGTTTGATTCAAAAGATAGAAGGAGATGTCTGAAATGGCGTTAAATAGATCTTGCACACAAAAGTTGTTTTCTGACAATAATTACTCGCTTAATTATCGACCTCAAACTTAAAAAATCTCCCATGTTACAGCGGACATGGGAAAAACACAGCGTACTTGTCTCCATGCGACTACCAAAAACAACAAAAAATTAGCTGCTCATTTAGGAACAAGATAGGGAAAACTTCGCATACCAGTCAGCCATTTCGAAAAGATTCTGAGAAGTCATTAGACATATTTTGAAATGTTCACGGTGCCGGCCACACACCAGTCAATAAATACGAGGAGAAAATAAAGACGGCATTATTTATATTTTATTGTTATCACTTTTTACTCGGATTTCCCTGTATTTAATTCCTGTGGCTTCCCGCGAAGAAACTACAGTTAAGTTCCTTATAACTCTGATCAATCACACATTCATACCAATTCCCAACATATTTTCATAGCTATATCAATATATACAAATTTACGTCCGCACATGTAGCAGGTTATTCTTACATAGAAAGGAAATTCTTCACCTTCTGCTCATCTTCTAATACCTGGGATTCCAGATGTAATGCTTGTTTGTTTGTTATTGTGTTGGCTTTCGTCAAACAATTCACTGTAAAAACCATCCAAGCCGCGGTGATTCATCGAGGTTAAACATTCTTTCATTTCTTCTGCCAGCTCTTGACATTTACGCCTTTTCTAGGCACTGGTTTGGCGTATGTTGTCATCCTGTGGTATTCCTACTTCGATGATGAATGTACATTTCCCTCGTATTTAGTATATCAATGTCGTGCCGATTTGCGTAAGTGTCTGTCTATTCTTCTTCGGTTTTAATAAGGTGATGCTTTCTGGACATACTTATAACAGGGCAATTTTTCAGTCTTTCCGATCAAGCCTTCCTTTATCACAATTGCCTGATGCAACACAATTGCATGCACAAGTGTATCCAGTGTTATGTAACGGTTGGATTTTATGTCTCTATTGCACAACCGACATCGCTCAGAGATCTCTTTCCCCGATGATGTACTTTCGACACGATCTAATGGCTAAAATCTGATATTGGGGAAAACGAGTAGAAATCCTTCCATTTCCGGGTACAAATTCCCTCGCTTCAGCATGGAGACACATACACAACATTCATGGGTGGTCAACTGTAGTTTTCCCGCTGTTGTTGAATGAAGTGCATTATGTACTCGATCAATCCGCTGCACTTCTGCTGTAATTCTCGAATCACGCGTGTTTACGACAGAGCTCACGAATGTTGATAAATCTTCTACCAACCAATTTTCCTGACAGACACATTCTAATCTTAGAGAATTTCGGGTGAGGCATCGTCGGAAAAGTCATTTTCGTCCTGACCAATCGACCCAGGCTTTCCAGCTCAGTTTCAGAAGATTTCAGGACGCCACATGAATACGCTACTGGGAAAAAAAGTATTACAATGGCAAAGACTGTCCGCAAGACAAGAATGCATGATTAATTATCAAAAATCATGTTATTAATTGTAAACTAGCAAAATGGAAAAGTTCATTCATCAAAATATAAGAAGTGAAGTAGAAATATTTAATAAGTTAACTAAGGGTTCCAAAATGAGAGAGAACATTTATCCGAATTTTACCAAGCATTAGAAAATGAAAAGGAACATTTATCCGAATTTTACTGAGTATTACAAGTTGAAAAGATACAGAAGATAAAGTAGAAATTTGTTACAAAGCATTATCAATGGACCATTCAACTTGAATTCTCCAAGCGTGCCGTGCATAATTAATAAGACTGACCTGCCAGGGAAGAAATAATTTAACCCCTTGTAAAGGTTCCGATTCCAACATAGATGAACCTGACTTCAGCAAACGAAGGATATTGACCCAGAAAATGAATCATATCTTCAGTAACATAATTACAAAAGAAATATCTTTCAGAAGTGGAATCATTTGAAGTCATGCTTTGTAGTTTGAAAACAAAAGTTTAAAATGCCAATAAAACTCGAAGTAATTTAGGTCGTTAATTGTGTCAATAATCTTCTTATCGATAACATGAGAGCTTTGTGCAACACGAAACCGTCAGAAATAAAAAAAAATGAACCCAAGCTTTTTTTAACTTAGATCTATTTATTTTGTAATGTCCAATCATCTGGATTCTTAAGAAGGAATATTGTTCAAAGGTTCTGAAAAGTTTTCTAAAATATCTGATCTTCCCTCCTCATATTCTTCATGAATATCTTCTTTATTCTGGTATCAACCGATTCAGGAAAATAGTTAATAACCTTATTCTAAATTTTCCATTAATAGATATATTCAGTAGTTCTTTACAAACCATTAGATTATATCTCCTGGCTATTCAAAATAATAAGATTTTACTATGTTATTTAATTATAATTGGAAATTTTAATCCGTACCAGAAAATAAGATTTATTCAGAATCTTAATCTTAATGTCTCTATAATTATAGTTTTATAATTTTTATTTTTGTACTCTATCAATAAGTTTTCAATAATACTTCCTAAATCAATAATTTTAAAATCAACGTACATCGAACTACAAAAGGACAATGTTCTGAATTTCTATATTTTAAATCTACAATATTGTACTTTAGTTTGGTTATTTATCCGTGAAATTATAAGGAGTATGGTACAATAAATGTGAAGTATGAGAGCATGTGTAAATAATCCAGGTTGTACAAATAAACGACACATAAATAATTACGATGGTATGAAATATGTTATCTTAATCATATGTTTTAATTATTTTTCTGTACATGTGTAATCGAGATGAAAAACAATATTCTCTTACATTACACAATATTTATAAAAATGTTGGTTTCTGCCTTTTGTTCAAATTTGGAGAAATATTTTAGCTTTAGTGTTGCGGAAGTAAAAGATAACGTGCGTACAAGTGACGATTCGACATTTTCTTTGTAGGTTTTATTTTTTATGTCTGAAGTTGAAAACACGACATGATCTACTGTTCGGATGTGAATGGTTCCATTTCGGATTTATTCGAGTACGAAGATTTTAATCTGAGGTAGAAAAGAGCGTAACGTTGTAACACATTTCGATGGTGTAACATGTGTTGAAATAATTAAACAATGTAACTTATTTTTATTCCGAACCACTCATTCATCTTTTATCTATTCAAAATATCTTCAATTCACGTAAAAGACAACTGAAGTCTATTCACAAAATAAAACGTTGAAAATACACGTCAGAATCAAAATTGGGATGTTAACATAAAACTGATGAAGCAACAGATATATCACAATCACCACAAGGCAATTGAAACAGTACAAACTACAATAACACAACAATAATTACAGTTGAGCCGTGATCCCACTTGTCTATGATAGAGGTAAAACATCAAATTTTAAAAAGGCCTTTTATAAGAAAGAAAAAGGACAAATTAAACACAGAACTGTACACTTTCCCAATTAACGAAAGTTTACAATAATATAAGGGTTATTTCAATATGGATAAAACTTTGTGAAGAGTAATTTTTCAAAGAAAAAGACACCAACAAACATTTACTTTAAGAAAATTGACTAAAAGCAGTTTGCTATGGAAGACTATGATTTCGACGAGCTCAACTTTTTGCTCAGAGTGCACATACACGCCGGAGAAAATGGGGAGATCTACGTTTCAAACATAACTGAAGCCCACGACTTAACTAGCGGTAAGCCGTCTCGTGGTTCCATCATCGGATAACGATTTGACGGGTTGGTTTTTTAACATATTTTTGATTATATAGAACAGGGAGCCGGTGATATGACCGCACACAGGAGGATAGTCAGCAGTTCGGTCTTCGGGAGCAGAAGGATTTGGAAGAAAATCAGGCGATTCCTGATCGTCGTCACAGCCTCCATGATAGTACCAGCGCTTATCCTGACAAGCTCATTTATGGTCGATGACGGTATACCTTTCTTATAGTTCGTGATTTACATCATATACGTATAAATAAATTTTCTTACAAAGATAATAAGACTGTTTTTTTATTGTTGTATCAAGAACGAATTAAAACTGAATTTAATTCCAAATGAATGCAGTCGAAGTAATCAGTAGATGAAATATTTGATTAAGACAGTACATTTCTAAAAAAAAATATTTAGCTTTACCGGCATATTTGGTGAAAGGAATGAGTTTAATAAAACAAATAACCAAGATTTTTTGCACAATAATACTTAATTCATTAACTTCCAAACATTACTATATATAAATTAACTAAATTCACTGTAAATCTAAAGATATTTGATATTTTTATAATTTTTTTTACTTAGTTTTAATTCTTTTATAACTTTCTACTTAGCGAATATAACAAATAATATCCTTTCTAGAAAGATCATTCCTACACACAGGAAGTATTTACTGTGAGTAGGAACTATCTTTCTAAAAATGATTGAACACCACACTCACTCCATCATTTATCATTTCTAACAAATAATATTCTGATGCAGGTTTTTTTCTTGGTGCCAAGTTCAAAGATAAAGACACTTCGATGGGTATGTTCTATTTCATTACAAGTTTTTATTTTAAACCTACCGCCACCACGTTATTTGCCTTGTTTTTATATATTTTGTTATGGCTTTTTATCGAAATGTCATCCTATAGGCCAAATCGAACATATTTTTTCTATTGAATTTTAATTGGAAATTCTACACTAGCTGGTTTTTAAATTCAATTGTATAAATTAAATCAATTATAGAGATCAGGTTTTGATTTTTTTGATTTTCGATAAAATAATTGGTTTTATAAATCACACTGTTTTATTATTACATCATTGTATTACATTTTTTAACGAGGGTTTGCAAAAGCAGAGGTCATGTAAACCCTCAGGGTGCCGGTGTGCCCATTTGTAAGTATGTCGGATTCGAACCCGGGACCTTTACTTTGCAGTGATGAGCGCTGTGTCAACGCCTAAACCGTTGAGGCCGGTTGGGATAAAAATGGTTAGATTATTCTGGTTTAGGTTCGGATGAGTTAAAGTTTGGATTGGACAGGGTTTAAGGTCCCACCAGACCAAAAGCAATGATTGTGACTAATCGATTCTTGCCCGATTTTGTCGCGACAATAAGTGCTAATTGCAGAGGATATAGATTTTCTTGTGAACGTATAATAATAATAGAAAAAGAAAAGAAAAAAGAATTGTCAAAGTGCACGACGACGATTGGATTATGATAACTAACGACAGATAGATTGATTTGGACAGTTTTAGGTTAGAATTAGAATAAGGAATAAGTTAGGTTAAGAATGCGTAGGTTAGGTTATGTAGAATTAAAGAACCGTTAGGTTAAAGTTTTTAAAATTTATTTATTTGCCTTTTAAATCAGTAGGTTATACAAACACACTACGTCCATGTCCAACAAGTAGCAAGACGATAGCAGTTTCAATCTCTTGAGAGGATTATTGGAGATTACACAGAATGTTAAACTTAAAACTGAGTTTTATGGGTGTAACTAATATAATTTGTGGTATTTTGTGGTTCGCGATTTCACGAAAGGAATGTTAAAGTCAGTGAGAATTATGTGATTCGATAGGTAGATACGCACCGTTTACTGTTTTTCGGAATTGGAAAATTTGAGTGCGATAGGCGGAATGTTTTATTGAACCTCACCTTTCGACGTCTTATTTTCAAGTCGGTATGTCTGTCGCCTGTTTCGAATAGTCAGTTTAGATCATTTGTCTAGAAGCCTAGAAAATATTTTGTAATATCTAGTCAGTTCCTGATATTTTTCATTTGTATTTGTTTTTTGTTAAATTCAGCCTAATCTAGCGAGCATGGTTAACTATAGGAACTATAGCTGTAGGATTAGTAGAGCCATTACGCCGCAGACGATACGTAGAGGCTTCTGTCAGCAGTTATTTTTCCCAACTTTATCAGCAAAAACCTTATATTGTTAAGATCAATATAAAGGAAGAGATGTGATTTTTATTGGAGAATAGTATAGCAGTACTATCTAAAAAAGTGAGAATGAATGAGACGGAACAGTCAGAATGAGACCAAGGATACCACCCTGAACGTCTCTAGCCTGAACAAGATACTTGAAGACGGATATTTCCTGGTTGACCTAAAAAATGTAGGGTTAGGTTAAGTTGGGCTGGTTTAGATTAAATAAGGTTAGGGTTAGGTAGAGTAAGTTCGTAATTAGCAGAGTGGTGAGGTTAGGTTAGATTAGGTTAGGGACGGAGTTAGTTACGAGTTAGGTTAGATTATGAAAGGTTAAAACGTGTTAGGTTCACGACGACGTTTTTTGATTGATAACTACATATTCTAACGTTTTTAAGAAGAATTTTCATTTTCAGTTCGTATTAAATATCACATGAACCACTGCCTTGGGTCTATCCACAATTATGTACAGAACATGAGAAATATGAAAGAAGGTAAAATCATAGGATATTAAATGTTTATAATTTATTGTTTTGACATTGTGCGAATTGGTAAACTTATACTACTATATGTAATTTGCGGTTACTGTATTTTTTGAATAGAATTTAATGAATTGGAGCACAGCAAAGACATGGATATAACATATTCAAGGCCAATGAACGAATTCCTAGATGAACTCAGTTTATTTTACAATAAATTGGTTTTAGACATTGTGGATTTAAAAGAATTCGTAAGTATTAGATTAAATTGTCTTTTAAATTAACACATTTTTTGCATTCTGTTTAAATCAGAACCTTCGATGAATGTTTTGAGGTATTTATTTTATTTAATGTATTTTTTAGACTGATAATTTACAAACAAGACCGATCGAAAATTTGTGAAAAAATGTCAAATGAATATCAATTCATTTATTGACGTTCTACAATAGAAGAAAAATACCCAACACTTCGAACTTATGACATAAACGTGTGAACAACATGAAATCCAAAAATTAAAAAAAAAGAAAAAAAAGCGTTTTCTGTAATTTAATACTCCATCTATAATATTCGATAACTTCCACTGACAGAAATTTAAGTTTGTTTATTTAAGCAAAATTCAATCTTTGATACCCCTCTTCATAACAAACACGGCATGAAGCTACACAGCCGTTTTATTTAATATATCTAGATACTTTATTTTGAATTAGATCTGAACCAGTGACCAGGCGGGGAGTAAAACGTTCGAGCAGATCATTGAAAAGGAAACACGGATTTATTAAATCCTACCAATTAGAACCAACTAGAGCATAAAATCCTCCTTCTCGGTCTCTTAATGACTGGAAACATTGTTTAAAATTTATCAAATCGTCGTCTGGAACAGAATTGAATATAGATTAAACTAAAAACTGTTTTACAATTAACTGGAGAACAAATGGAACAATAGTAGTGAGTATAATATTTATTTATTCATATATTTATTTATCTTTATATAAACCTATCTATTCGGGTTTTGGTCTCTTGTGGCCATCTATCAATCAGGTTGCTCATATTTCATCACTATTTTCCACCGGTGTACAGAATGGATTAGTCCTAGGAGGTTTCCCTAGGGAACACCTGCTTTTATTTCGACTAAATTTGAATAATCGTAATTTAGCTTTGCTGACTGAGTAGTAGGCGAATAGGAGATGTACCCACTATGGTGGGAAGATACATTTTTAGTGTATGAATGAAGTTTGTATGCCAGACTTTATCGTCTTGGGATACGTCCAGAAACGAGAAGGTATGATTCTCTTAAAGCTTTTTTTGTTATATCAATAATTTTCTGAATTTTCTATATTGTGGAACGTTATGTCGTAAGATTTAAATTTTTTAAACAGACGTGAATGTTTGGAGTTTATGGAAGAGTTTTCATATCATTGGAACTAGCAATATTTTTCTATACAATGCGACCATTGGTGGTTTTCACATTCGTGCTATCATTGTGATTTTGGTCACTTTTCATTTAACAGGAAATTGTTTTCCTCTTATTACAACTGTTGGGGCTTCGGCGACCTCAAGTTATGGTCGAGGTATATCTTTACCCCGCGGTTCGAACAAAGGGAAAATAAAAGAGAATGCTGGATAAGTTTCTGCTTTTATTTCACACAAAAATACTTGTAGAAGTAGAATGACAAAATTAAATGGCTTACTCGCACAAACTACAACAAAAAGATCGGCTTGTCAAATACAAAATAAAATGAAGTAAAAAAAATTAAAGAAAAATCTACAAAAAACACAAATGAAAAAAACAAAAAAAAACAATCGACTTGCGTGTTCTGGGGTACCCCTATTTAGCCGGCGAAATGTAAGTCAGGCGACGCGTTGACGCGGCGGCAGGCGTTCAGCAGCAAAGGCAGATGCGGGCAGCAACAGGTCAAGCAGTAGTTCCGACCGAGGCTCGAGCGTAAGTAAAAAGTAAAACTCCGAGTCATGTCAACAATCCTGTTATCGGCGAGTTAATTCCGTTGTTGTCAACATGCCGATCACCGCGGCTCGGCCCGAAAGCGTACGGCCGTAACAACAACCTTCAATAAACAAGCTAGTTTCACAGTTCATTTTTGGGTAGATTTTTCAATATTTCTCCTGTTAACAACTCAAATCATCTTTAGTATGTTTGAGTAAGATGTACTGAAAAAGCAGTGCTTCCACTCTCCACCTGACGATAGTCTTCGGTGCGCCTCAAATGGCACTAAAATATCAAAAAATCTCACAAATGTTTTCATCTGCTCCTACGGTTATATTAAAGTTGACGGCAGATTTAATATTTTATGAGATAGAGGGACTTTGGAAAAAAGTTGTGAATATTTGAAATGCTGTGAAAAGTGAGGTATTTTGAATTTAATTGAAAATGAAACATAGAACTATAGGGTCCTTTTAGTTCAATTTGACATGTAGGATAACTGCTGAAATATTGACGTCTGTTAATTGGACATCCTGCAGACATCGATCTGGTCCATGGCCACCACCTCAGACAAATCGTTTTGATATGAAGATATCTTAATTAGTTTGAAAATCGTTAAATACATATATATCAGTTCGTTTTATGATTACATAAATATATATAACATGTTTTAGTTATTATTCGGATTTCGTGAGATGCGGTCTGGTATGTCGTAGGTTTTGGAAAAACATTTTCTATATCGTGCCAACGTTTCGATCTTTATTGAGATCATCTTCAGGGCTCAAAGTGTTCGAGAAGCACTCTCAACACGACACACAAGAATGGCACAATTACGCAGAAAACAAACACTTTCAGCCCTGAAGATGATCTCAATAAAGATCGAAACGTTGGCACGATAAAGAAAATGTTTTTCTAAAACCTACGTCACACCAGACCGCATCTCACGATCAACGAATAATCAACGACTAACGGTAACCACACAAATATATACAATGCTACAAAAATTGTTGATTAAAAAAATGAATTTATACAATGCTAGAAAATTATAGATTCAATCAAAGCAGCCGAATTGTTAAGAATTAGACTGTGTAGAAATGTTTGATATGTAGAATGTGATGATCGTTTCATGTCATATTATATGTTTTGTGTGATGTGATGATGATTCCACAAATCAAACATTTCTACATAGTCTAATCTTCAACAATTTGGCTTTTCTTTCCCAAATTATCCCCGTCTACATAATCCTGAAAGGATCATCAGGCCGAACCATTACCCACGCTTTTCCCTTTCACCTCAAAAAAGCCGACTGCTCATAAAAAATGCCTTTCTATCCCGACTTCCCTCCCCACTCCTTCAAAACCCAACGTATGTAGACACAAAACAGCAATATCTCACTGGCACTCACAACACGACACACAAAAATGACACAACCACGCAGAGAATAAACACTTTGAGTAAGTACAAATACTAAAAATTTCTATCATGTATATATTCATTTTTTTTAATCTAAAAGTTTTCTAGCATTGTGTAAATTCATTGTTTTCCACATCCTACATGTATTTGTAAAATTAAAATAATATAAATCCCAGGCCGTGAAGATGATCTAAATATAGATCGAAACGTTGGCACCATAAAGAAAATGTTTTCTAAAACCTACGTCACACCAGTTTGCAACTCACGATCTGCGAATAATCATTGACTAACGGTCACGAACTACCACACATGTTTTAGTACAGGTTTTATGTTTTGAATTGAATTATTTGTTATATGTACGTGTCCATATGTCGTATGTAACATGGTTCAAATTAAAGCCCCTGCTAGCAAAGGTAGTTGTGGGAAGAAAAAACAAACAGACAAAGGTAGATTACACGTTTTGGATTTTAATTTGTCAAAATCATCAACATTTTGTTTGTTTTAATTAAAATAATTGGTTTTCATCATACAAAGTAAGAAAAGAAGAGAAAACGCGTGGTGAATATTGCACTTAAAGGTGGGTTACTTTTGTTTGTAGAATGGTTTTTCGCCTCCGGCTTTCTCGAGTAGTTTCGTATCTTAAATCTGCAGGAGTAGAGAAGAAAAAAGCACTTTAGAATAGCGTTTTTTAATATTTTTATTGGTGAGCTTTATTTAAGTACCGTTGCGGGTGTAGATATACACTGCATTCGCTGAATATTCGCGAATGGCTTATATACCGAAAGAGTGGGTCTATTTTTCCGTAGGCGAAAAAATTGTGAAATATGCAATTCGACGGAATGGGGAAGAGTGGGAAAGCGCAATTGTGTGCGACCCGTAACGAGTCCCGAGGGAAACGGAGGCCAGAAATGTAGCGTATAATAAGACTATATATTTGGACATTTAAGGGGCCCCGGCCATCTGCAATAGATTAAGGGATCCTCGCCGTCCCTGTTTACAAAGATAGCTCAACCCTTGAAACATGTCTCACACTTATATAACACTTGTACTCGGAATACATGAAATTGTAAAATAAATCTCGGCCCACTGTCTCGGCCAACACCTTCTTCAAATCGGATAAATTGCGAGTTAATCTTGCATAATAAAACCATTGTGTCACTTTAATAAAGATAAATTTGGCCAAATTATGACGTTTTTGTGTATAAATACCTTTCCAGGAGCTATAATTCCTTAAGAAAAGTGTAGAATAATTCAGTTATGAGCGCTCTTAGTCATCCACAGCTTTTATGTTTTATGAATGAGTAGTTTCCGCTAAGATAATTCCGCCTGAGAAACCCGAAATATTTTTTAAGGCATAAATGGGTGATTGCCTCAAAAATGTCATTATTTATATTAATAAAAACTTTTCAAAATGTCAAGTGAATAAACAAAAACAATGAATTGAATAAAATATCAGCAATGTCCAGATAATCAGGACTATAGTTTCAAGACAATGTCTAGGGATTTTATCACGTTATTTTTAAATTGTAACATTCACATTACTACATATCTCTGTAACTAATTTGTATATCGTAGTACCGCAACCTTTCAAAGGCATGTTTTTTAATAGATATTTAAACATGTCAGAAGAGAGAAACAGTGAACAAAGCAGAGAATCACTCACATGCATAGAAAAACAAAGACAGAATAAATGAGTGGAAGAAGAGAAAGAAGGGGAGAGAGCAAGAGAGAGTGACAGAGAGAGAGAAAAAGGCAGAAAGACCGATCAAAAAAGAATAGATTGTATAGTATTAGGAATATAGAAATGTCGAGAGAAAAAGAAAGACTGTGTGAGAGGGAGAGAGATATGGAAAGAATGGGGATTGAAATATTGAAATTATGAAAGAAAAGGAGTTAGAAAGAGAGAGAAAGGAAAGAGAGCTACCAAAACCGAGAAAGACTAAGAGAGAGAGAGAGAGAGAGAGAGAGAGAGAGAGAGAGCGAGCGACCGAGGGGGAGGAGAGGAGGAGAGGAGGAGAGAGAAAGAGAGAGAGAGAGAGAGAAATATGTCTATTTGACAGACACCCATAGATAAAATTATGAGTTAAGAGAAAGCAATAGTTTTTTCGAATTCATTTACTTATTTACAACTACTAATATATGAAATATATTAGATAATCTGAACGGAATAATTATGAAATA